CAGAAAAGGAGGAGGATAAAGCCTGCAAAACTCTGTCTTATAAGTAAAATTAATAATGCTTCCAATGTTGTGGTTTGCGATTGCTCTATGTAAGATCTGCAAGGGAAGTAATATACAGGTTACTTCATCTTCATGTGACGTCTCAGTGTCTACTTTCTCTATGGCAAAGTGTCTGTATTAGTTAAGATAAGGTTAAGCCACTGTCAAAGACCTAACATCATGCAATAACTTTTAAGAAACACATAAGTTAATTTCTTTCATATGTAAAAGTGTGAGGCCGTCCAGACTGGCAGGCAGCCCTGATCCACATAGTCATTCAGAGACACATGTTTCCATGAAAGTGCTATTTGTCATAATCTTCATGGTCTCACTGGGTCACCTGGGTTCTACCCTTCCAGCAGGGGAAAGAGGATGTAGAAAAAGCAACCACCCAGTGTTTGAGAAGAAGTCAGCAGGCAAGTACTACATATCACTTCACTTCTGCTCATACTCCACTGGTGAGACCTGTCCTTTGGCCACATCTAACTGCAAGAGTATCTGGGAAATACAGTATGGATAGGCAGCGATGTTCTCAGCAACAATCCTTTTACTGTGGTCGAAGGCAAGAATGAATTTTAGAGGACAGTTGATAGTCCTGCCGTAGGGTTCAGGCAACCAAATAACGGGTGTGGTAGTTGGAACAGAATCATACTTTTATTGCAAGACAACAGAGAAGCATAGTAAGTTTCAAACCTTGATATTATTAAGTCATTGTTTATTTAACTGGCACTGATGCATAAAGCATTCAAAAGATATAGCTACATGTTCTTCAAACTTGTACCTTAATTTCTTATAAAGTTGTGAAAATATTTAGAAAGTTGAGAAAAGAGTAATTTGCCACATTTGCTTTCACTCTCAGAAGAGCATTTCATTTGTACATTTACTGAACCTCTGTGGGTGCCAGTCACTGTGCTACACTCTCGGAGTATAAAGACAGCTAAGATACAGCCCGTATTCCCAAGGAGCCCACAGCTAGTGGTAGAGATGATCAAATTTCTGGTGTCTATTGTTTATTTATTTCTTTGTTTGTTTAATGTTTCTTTGTTTCTTAATTTGTTTAATGCTGAATGGTGTGATCAGAGCCAACCTAGCTCTGTGCTAGGTTTGCACAACTCAGCATGGGCACAGAGAGAGAAGGTTCAAAGGGAGTAGTTACAGAACATATAGGGCTAAATCTGGAGGTGAGAGTAGGAGTTGACCAGATGGACCCAAATAGGGAAAAAACATTACAAGCCAAGGAAATAGTGTGGGTAAAACTGAGAATGTATGAAGCAGCTCACATGGGAAACTGCCAGTGATTTACCCTGGAGGTGAGGGTGCAAGTCAGGACAGGGAGAGTTGGGCACACACAGGTTCATTTAGGGCCTTGCATCCTCATCCTGAGCTGGTGACAGGGATTTTATTCTATAGATGATGTGGTTGCACTGATTCCCAGGGTACCTGGTTGGATCTGGATTTAGATAAATCATTAGCAAGATACAAAGATAGATTGGAATCTAAGAAGTTCAAATGTTAGCAATAAGGTCAAGCCTTCTGATGCTTCAAGTGGGAAAATTCTTGCAGAAAGAGTTCCACATACAAAAAAAAAAAAAAACTTGGCAAAACTCTAAGGAATTTTATCTTTTGAAAATCAATCCATAAAAGAAATATACTTTTTAAATCAAACTTATCATAGTTCTGGTATAGAAGAAAGATATATATAACATAAAGATATATATATATATAACAAATGTATATATAGCATAAGCCATCTTTGAAGGAGACAAAGAAGAAAGTGTGAGCTTATAACGTAAGGCGGCGTATAACTAGGCACACTCAAAGGGCAAGGGGCTCCCAGGGCTGTGGGTATTTAGGGAAGGGAATTTAAATCATGGAATTGGAGCTTTGCCTAGAAAAGAAATGAACTATCTCACTTTGATTACATTTCATAGGTAGAGATAGAAACAGATTCTTCTTCCTCAAATGAATGGGTATTTTCACACAAAAACACTATAAGAGAATGGCAAATGCATAAGCAACTAATGTCTTCTTCTCATCCTCCCAAGTTCTAGAATTAGAGAGAGAAGAGGATTGTTAGCCAAAGAAGGAAGTGTTAGGGTTCGAATATGTATGTCCCTTATTTGTTGAAATTCTACCTATCCCTCAAGGTAATGGTATTGAAGAAGAGGGGCCTTGCAGAGGTACTTAAGCCAGAGTCCTTGTGATTGAATTAGTGGCCTTATTAGAGACCCCAAAGAGCTAGCTAGCCCCTTCCACCATGTAAGGGCACAGCTGGGAGGTGCCATCTATGAACTAGAAAGCGACCTCTCACCAGACACCAAATCTGCTGATGCCTTGATCTTGGACTTCCCATCCTCCAGAGCCATGAGAAATAAATTTATATTGTTTACAAGCTACCCAGTTAATTATATATTGTTGTAGCAGCCTGAATAGGTTAAAACAGGGAATTAATGGTTACAGTCTCTCTCTCCTCCAGGTGGGGGTCAGCACATACTGAGGAGGAAAAAGGTGATGGAATAATTTGACAGCCACTGGCTCATCTTAGAAGTTAGTTCCTTCAGACAAGGACCACAGACGAGTTGGTAGGACTTAATGAGAGCAGCAAGTACCAGTAATATAGATTAGATATATATCCTGTGGACTGAGGCTGCCCCCAAATTCTTCCACACACATTCAAGGACTGGGCTTCTTGTCTCCTCAAGGCTGACGACCCTCTAGAGACCAAAGAGAGAAAGTCTTTATAAGGTAGCATTTGCTTGAGGGGCCAGAGGACCTAGTAAAGGAATTGTACCAGGGACACTGCGCAAAGATAAGATAATTTGGTGAGGCAGAGGGCAACAAAGGCCCGCTTGCAAGATTGACCCTTAGTTAACATCTGGGAACTTGGATTTCAGGAAAGTTTCCACCACTCTAATGGCTGAGAGTAACTCATTGTGCATAAACTACATACATAAACAGTATGATTTATGCTTTCCTTCTGGGACTCTGGAATTTTAGTACGTGCTAGGCAGAGGGTACCTGTGTGACGAGCCCCCAGTAAAAACCCTGGGCACTGAGTTTTTAGTGAGCTTCCCTGTTAGACAACATTTCATGTGTGTTGGCACAACTCGTTGTGGAGGAGTGAAGAACATCCTGTGTGACTCCACTGGAAAAAGGACTGTTGGAAGCTTGTGCCTATTTCCTGCAGACTTCGCCCCATGTGCCTTTTCTCTTTGCGGCCTGTCACTATAATAAATCTTAGTCATCAGTACAACTATATTCTGAGTCCTGTGAATCTTCCTAGTGAATCACCAAACCTGGGGATGGGCTTGGGGATCCTGAGACAGCAAGACTCGCAGGAAGGACTCCGGTAGAAACTGGCTGCTCAGTGCTGGCACTTTTGTAACCCCCAACATGTATATTTATTTTAATTTCCGTCTTCCAGAATTAAACACTTGATTGTGTTCATTGTATCTTTCTTAACAACTGTAACTATTCTAAATTTTTCAGATTTTAGAAAGGTATTAAACAGACCGCATATTATGAAATGTCCCAGCAGGTCTGGGGAAGGACTCATACTCAAATATATTAATATGGCTGCTTTTGACGCATGAGCAGTCTCACTAAGTGGAATAAATGGAGACCCTAAGGAGCCTCACATCAGTCCAGGTCAGAGCTCGCCACCAGATGAGTTTATGCCAAACTTAGAGAAAAAAATTTAGAATTTTTAAAGCATTTAAACATTTAGCGTTTCAGGTAAGAGAGTATGCTTATCAGGAAATTAAGGATTAGAAAAGTGAATTAATTTGCCAACAGTAGCACCACTTGTATTCGAGTTGAATTTCAAATTTAGGACTGTCTAGGCCACATGCCAGAGAACTTTTATCTATTGCTTTAGAGTATCTCTCTAGTTACTTTTAAAATTGTGCCTTCAATGTCCAAATAGTACTAATGAGGAAGTAGTGTGAAAATAAGGGGGAATAGAGAAAAAGAAAGTAATTATCTTTCTTTGGAATGGGCGTTTGGGCATTTGCATTTCCCCATGGAACTTATCCCAAATATACGACATATTTTTGCCTTCTGTAAGTCTAACTGCACATCAAGGCCCCAAAGAGATAGATCCACCAGTTCTCTCTCCTGGGGTGTCTCTGCGATGCCTCTAGCTGCCGTCATCCCCAAAAGGAGCGTGTGCGTGTCTGTGTGTCCCTTCATTGTGCCTTCCAAGGCAGCAGGAGTGTGTCTTATTTTTTCTCTCTCTCTTTTAGTGCATAATGCTCAATAATTCATTTAAGTAGATTTTTTTTAATTAAATTGAATAGAAAGTTATTTTGGTTGAATGAAGATAACTCCAAGATTTCTCTGGGTGGGAAGGCCAGCTAGCTCACACTTCCTGGAAAAAGTTCATAATAGACACGTTTGCCTTCACTGTGGCAACAAAAGAGATGGTTTGGAGAAAAAGAGGAGCAACAGGACTCCTACCAATAAAATATCTTCCTTCCATAAGATAGCAAAATATATTTTACACAGGTATTTGCTGTGAGCAGGATTTGGGGAACAAGAAGTCACTACCAATCAGACATGTCTGAACTGCTAAGTTTTGTTTTTGCTTTTCTACCCCTTCCTGCTCCTTGCTTTTAAAAATGGATGCTCTATCAGTTAGAAAGATGTTTGTAACCCAGTTCCCTGTGTTCTTACATCCTAGGAGCTTTGTTATTCTAATAAGTCTGTTCTGCCTCCACTTGCAAACCAGCTTAATTTAATTCTAAATGAAATCTCTCATTTTTTATTATGTTCGATGCAAGCTTAGTAATTCTCAGAAAATGGTCCTTGTTAAATGAAGTTTAGCTAGAAATTCTGATATTCTGGGATGCTTACACAAACAGCTGTCATTCTTTGCAATGGCTTCATTATTCAGTGACACAGTTAATAGCGTTGTTTTACTTTTACTCGAAATTGTCTTTGTCTTTCTCTGCTTGTTCCAGCAACAGTTTTCCTGGAGTTCTGGAAAAGACGGCGAGCCGTAATTGCGTATGACTGGGATTTGATAGACTGGGAAGAAGAGGAGGTTTGTATCACTTACCTGCGAATTTTTTAGAAAGCAAATCACCAAGAAGTACACAATTCCCTTGAATCATCACTCTCAGCTCCGGGACAGAAGTCCCGTTTACTCATAAAGCATTTTCAATACTTGCCTTTGTAGGAAATTTCAAGTAGTATAAGAAGGGACTGGCAAAAAAAAAATTTTTTTAAGCACTTTGATTCCTTCATGGAATAAAATTCTATGAGTAAGTGAAGGATTTCACTTGTGAGTAGAGAACCCAAAAGAATTGGTAAGATGTTTTTTAGTTTTCTTAAATGTCATCCATTTTCTTTACTTCAGCAGAAAAAGGGCATTAGTTTTACATCTCTAGGCACATGGAAGACGACCTTCTAAGAAAATTGCTTTAAGGAAACATTTCTGTGAGCACCTCAGTACCCAGGACACTGCCCAGGTGTGCACAGCTCTGAAGTGTCGCATCAGGTGGCAAATGCTGAGGAGAAACCACTCCTAAGCAGCTACCTTTGGGGATGTGGCTAAAGGTGGGGCCGGCTCTAGGTGAAACTGCCAAGACAAACGTGGTCTCTGAGACGTCACCTTCTCAGCACATTCACCAGTGCTATCATTCTCCTCTTACCCTCTTCTTGACCAATCCACTGTGCTCTTTCCTGACCTCTATCTGGTTTTAACACTCTCTCCTTGCCCCTTTCCTGTCAGAAGTCTCAAGTACCCAGCGGGGCATGGTCACCACATTGTCCCATCAGACCTTGCTTTCCCTTGATGTTGGTCCAGGCCTCAGCTCCCCTCTCCTCCCTGTCATTCCTCATCTCTTACCTCTCCTGAGTCTCGTACCTCAGAGCCTCACGATGCCACCAGTCAGATAAACCCATCATAGACATGTGATGTGACAATGGAAATTAATGTGTGTTTTCCTTACAGGAAACATATATGTGTATCTTTATATACTAAAAGGAATCTTCTAGAAATATGAATATTGAGAATTTTAGCACTGGGAGGCTTGGTGGGAGAAGTAATTTTGAGAGGCTTTTTTGTTTGTTTGTTTGTTTCCTTCAAATCACACCTCTAGTTCTCAGTTTGGGATTCATTGTGGAACTGCCTTACTTCTAGCCCATGGCTCCCAGCTTATTGTGCAGAAAAGCCTGGACTCACTGCATACCTTCTTCTGGGATAACCTAGTACATTATTTTGCTAGGGCATCCATAACAAAGTACCACAGACTGCATAACTTAAACAATAGAAATTTGTGTGCTCACCATTCTGGAGGCTAGAAGTCCAAAATCAAGGTGTCAGCAGGGTGGGTTTCTTCTGAGGGCCACCATGGAGCAATCTGTTCCAGGCCTCCCTTCTTGGCTTATGGAGGACATCTTCTCCTGTGTCTTCACATTATTTTTCCTTTGTGTGTGTCTGTGTCCAAATTTCGTCTTCTCATAAAGATGCCAGTCATATTGGATTAGGATCCACCCTAATGACCTTACATCTTTAATTACTTCTGTAAAGAACCTGTTTCCACATATGGTCACATTTTGAGGTACTGGGGGTTAGGACTTCAACTTATGAATTTGGGGGACATGATACAATTCAGCTTATGACACCAAGGAGCACAGACCTGGCTGCATGACTAGCCTCCGTTTTTGATTGGCTAGCTCAAGGGCTCTTGATGACACTTATAAATTGAAGCCTAATAAATTGAAAGTTTCCCAAATAAATAAAACAGTCTAAGCCCACTCTGTTTATATCCTCAAGTATAACTACCTGAAATAAATGAAAGAGACAGAGCCTGCTTCTAGCTTCATCTCCTACCAATCCTACCCATGACCTGCCCTGAGGGAGATCTGGCACTTACACTGTGGCATGAGTCAGGCTAAACTGACACAGAGGCTGCCCGTCATGCTACTATGATGGCTGTGACCAAACTGTGCTCACTCTCCGTGACCTCTCTCCTGTCAGCTCTTTCTTAGTTATCTGTCAATACCTTCTTCCACGTCTCAAGTCTATCTGCATTGCTTTAACTCAATCTCCCTTCCACCAGAGTTTCCGCTTGTCCATCTCTTCCAAAACACTCAAATAAAACATATACTTAATTACCCAGAGCCACATCAGCGTGCCCTCGTGCTAATTACCTTTTCCTAATCCCCATAATTGCTTTTTAGTCAGAAGCTTTCACGTTTGGATGGGGCTCAGCTAAATAAGATAAAAGCTTGATTTAGAATTAGAGGAGCCTCGATTTTAGCTGGTTTTGAAAGGTGTTTACCTTATTTTCAATAACAGTTAAGAATACATTTAAAATCTATTGTTTAAAGATGAATGACTCCTGTGTGACCTTATCAAAAAGTAGATCCACCATGTTTTTAGTTACTTAAATCTAAAAATGCAAAAACAACAACAACAACAAAAAAAAACATTTGTAGGAGAAAACTAAGATTTATGCTGTTATTATAATTTGTAAAATATTTTCCTGTTCAGAAGCCTCCTTTGTCCTGGTGTCCATATCACTCTCTGGTAATAAAAGTAAAAGCTTATTAGTTGCTCCCAATCACTAAGGACAGAACATATGGTTGCTTTTAAAATTTTATTATCAGCTTCTTTCTTCAAGCTTAGTTTAGTAAGATAACAGAGAAACATAACTGTTAGTCTAAATCACATTGCTTTTGATGATAGTAAATCTTGATCTTCCATCTTTAGATTTTCTTCAAGTGGCCAATTTTCAAACATTTAAGCCTGGGGTGGCTGATTGATTAGCGTGACAGCTATTGACTCAGTTTTACACTGGGGTAAAATGATATATTCTTCTCTTATTGTGTGAACACCTCTTCAGTGCATAAAAATGTATCTGCTTCTCTTTTAGGAAGAAATCCGACCCCAGTTTGAAGCCAAGTATTCCAAGAAAGAGCGGATGAATCCCATTTCGGGAAAGCCAGAACCTTATCAAGCATTTGCAGATAAATGCAGCAGACTTATCGTTTCTGCATCTGGAATATTTTTTATGGTTTGAAAATTTTTTTAAAAAAAAATCCCTTTATTTGTTTCATAAAGTACAAACCTATAGCACAAAAACAACAATAATTGTATCAGGCATTTGCATAGTTCTATAAAACATTTTTCACTTTATGTTATTTAATCCTCATAATAGCTCTGTTTGGTGGTCAGGGATGGTATTGCCATGCCCATATTACAGATGGAGCAGCTGAGACTCCAAAAGGTTGTGGGGCTTGCCTACGGTCAGCCAGTAAGTGGCTAAGAGCTCAGGCCCTCTACTCCAATATGATGTTCTTGCCACTCGCCATGTTCCACTATGCCATGCTGAAAGGAACTGAAAATGTTCCACTATGCCATGCTAAAAGGAACTGAAAATTTGGGGTAGGATCTCCAGCAGTGTTTTTCCACCTTTTTCCCATGCCCATGCAGTAAGAAATGCATTCTCCGTCATAAGCCAGTATATGCTATGCAAGTAGATGTCAAAAACTGAATATAACTAAAACAATAGTCAGCTTTACAATATGCAATAAACTCTGGTTTTTCTGTTTTATTATGTCTATATTTTTACTACCAGATAAAATCTCCCAAAATTGATTTCCTGAGCTCCTAATGGCTCTTACCAGTTTGAAAAACACTAACTTAGAGCTGAGTTGTCAGCTTTTCCTAAAAGGAAGTCATTTAGAGATGAACTTTGATACAATAATTTCTAAATAACATATGCAAATTTTCCAGAAATGTCATTGTAGAACAATAAAGGATTGTTTAGGACCCTTCTTTCTTTTTCCAAAAGACAAATGGGTAAATCCATGCCCAAACCATTGGAGTACAAAGAACAAAACTATGGCAAGCCCAGGCAGGCTACCCACTTCTGCCACTAAGAAGCAGGGACATGGAAGGCTGCGCGCTTGCCCCAGAGTCCCTGGTAGACCAAGGTTCAGATCCATACACTTCTGTAGATGTCACTTTGTAAGCAATTGTGTCATGC